TTTTTTTTTATTTGATAGTTATGATATTCAATTATTTCAAGAGATTAAAGAAAATTCCAACAAAAATTGTTGATGAAAACTCTACTGATATTGAGGTTAATAAAATCCTATTAGAAGAAGAAGCCCCACATCAATGACAACAACACCATGTAAAAGAAACTCAACCTTCGGTCAGAATGTTCAATTTAGATGAGCTTGAAACTGATCTAGGATTGAGGATACCAATTAACAAGATTTGTTGTACTGACAAGCAAAAGGAGGAAGTTCGAAGAGCATACTTGTTAAAGGGTCCTTGCCAACCTAAAGATCATAACTTTCCTTTCACTCTTTTTGGAGACAAAAAGCGTAGGTTTACACCAGAGTGGTACAAAGAAGGTCCAAGTTGGATGAAATATAGTGTGGCAAAAGATTGTATCTTTTGTTTGAATTGTTATCTTTTCATAACTGATTATGGTGACCAAGTAGGTGGTGAAGGTTTTGTGAGTAAAGGATTTAATAATTGGAAAGATAAAGCGAAAGTGAAAAAACATGTTGGAGATCATTCTAGTATTCATAACCAATGTCATGCCAAATGTGTTGATTTGATAAACCAAAGGCAACACATCAATGTAAATCTTGCTTGCATGTCGAAAAAGGCCAAATTTGACTATTGCATTCGTTTGAATGCATTAATTGATTGCATTAGATTTCTTTTATATCAAGGATTGACATTTTGTGGTCATGACGAGTCGGTTGAATCTGAAAATCAAGGTACCTTTATAGAACTATTGAAGTTTCTATCCAATCATAATGATGACATAAAAAAAGTTGTGCCGGAAAATGCTCCGAAAAACCATCAAATGATGGCCCCCGACATCCAGAGGGAATTAACTAATGTTTGTGCTCATTTGATGACCAAGAAAATTATTGCAAAAATTTTGAGAGATAAACAACCGTTCTCTTTACTAGTTGGTGAATCTTGTGATGTGGCAATGAAAAAACAAATGACTATTGTTTTTCGCTATGTGGACAAAGTAGGTTGTGTTATTGAACGTTTTATCAGGGTTGTGCATGTTAAGAATACTTTTGCAAAGTCTTTGAAAATTGCAATAGATGCATTTTTTATAAAGCATGGATTGAGTTTGACAAGTTTACGGGGGGAAGGTTATGATGGAGCTATTGGGATTCATGCATTTTGGACATGGAAATGGTGTAACATGGATGAACAAGATGATGGATGCAAGGTAGAACACAAACATAACACATAAACCCAAAAAATTTCAAGGTAAGGATGGAATATTACCTACTCCTTTGCTATTCAACACTTGAATCTTCTTTCTTGGAATCTTAGTTTTTCAAGTGAACTTGAAGAACCTCAAAATGTGATCCACACAAGTCAAGGAAGAGAGAGCCAAGAGAGTGAGAGAGAAAATGAGAGAGTGATTTTGCTTTAATTGATTCAATTCAATTAAAATGTTATAAAACTTAATTTATCTACCATGGGCACAAAGTATAATTTTAAATTGTTTTGGAAAGGCCTCAAACAATTTAAAATTAACTTGAGAATAAACATTTATGTCAAGTCCTTGGTTTTATGGTTAATTCATAATTAAACCAAATTTTAATTCCATTAAATATTCTAACCCTTTAGAATAAAACCAATGCACTTTTGCCCCCATCATTGAATGCAATTCGATAATAATATTTAATAAATCCTTATTACCCTTGGTTAGTGCTAGCTATCTGGCGTGCTGTCATAGGCACCCAAAATTAAAACAAAAAACACATGTAGTAGTGTGAGTTAGGATCATTCCCACGGAGAGTATCTAGCCGAATTTAATGTTACGTGAACAAGGCTGGGGGGTTTCGAGTTAAAACAGAAACAATTTCAGGAAAACAACAATTCAAATTAATCAATCAATCAAAATAACAAACTTTGGTCAAAGTCAACATCCGCCATCAGAATCTTACAACTGATCATCGATGCAAAAATAAATCAATTCATACTTTGAATATTCACCGTTGGAACTATTTTCCTATCTCTCCTTAGTTGTAATTAATTAAGAAATAAGCGATCTAATTAACCTTACTACTAAACAACCCTAAACAAGAGCTAAAGATTTAATCTAGTGGCAGCCTTAAGACCTAGAGAGATCGATGAAGCTAAACAACACAAACTCAAGCGGTTGCATTTAATTCAGTCAAATGTTCTTCTTAAGACTTAATAATTCCTAACGCAACAAATTCTTAAACCCTAATTGCTTCACAAGTTAAAGGGATCAAACAATTACGGATTTGATATCTAACTTAGCAGTAGATTGCAACAATTAATAAACTAGTAGGCCTCCTAGTAATTAAATGCAACAATCATGAAAATAAGCATAGAAAACATTCAATACTCAAACATAAATTGAACACTTAAAGAAAAAACCAGATTGATCTCACAGTTTATTGATTCCGAGGTCTTGTTTTCTTCGACCAAGTTATAAAAGTTTAGCCGCTCATGGCTATGAAAAACTCAAGAAAAACGAATTCCACACGAGAGAAAGAGAGGTGTGTGTGTTATGTGTTATCCCTAATCTCATCTCCCTGTCTCCATATCCAATTCAAATTTTAATTCTACTAAATCTAAATCTCCTAAAAATATTCTAAAATCCCAAAATAACCTTTATCCTAATCTGAGTAATTGAAAATAAAATAAAGTCTTAATACAAAATAGGAAAGTGGTGTTTCCAGCTGTAATTTGCGTGCAACAGGTCTTCAAAACTTCTTGTAATAATCTGCCTATTTGAATTGCATGACAAAGCGGAATGTTCCAGAACATCGACAGTGCAGGTGTATCAACTTCAAGCTCGATTACAACCTTGATGCAGTGAGTATCTCTCCAAACTCAAAACATAAAAGTTGTATATCTCTTTCTTAGCATTCCACATCATTTTGAATCATCTCAATCGGATCTTGGATGAGAGAGTTATGCCAGATTACGAAGCAATGTCGAAACTATCCGAATTCACTTAATTAGTTATGTTTTGCAATTAACGCCTCCATTTGCATCTTAAATCAAAATAGAATAATAATGAGTATATTTAGGCAGAAAATAAGTATAAAATACTAGACATTAAGAGGGGTGAATATGACATTTTGCATTCTCATCACTATCCATGGATAATCATTTCTCACCAATACATTAATTTGGATGCAACTGTTTACGTCTGAACATCATTAATCTGATTAATGATATGTACTACTCTCTCTCCTTGAGCTTGGTTTTATGTGCGACCATTTTGGTTCACTGTGATCTAGCCATGGGCCAAATATTTGATTTTGATATGTTTCATTATAATTCTTTATAATCGAAACTCCCACTGATTATGGTAGACGTCTAGCAATGTTCCATGACCCCTAAACCACAATGAAGTGTAAACTCCAATGAACCTATTCTAATCGTACATACCGTGTAGTCAAATGCCTCCGTTATCTAATCCCGATTAAGAATGGTTCATGGTATGTCAAAACATTTAACTTAATCTTTAATTGAATTGTCAATCGATACAATGGAACTCGTCAACATGAAACTACTTTTCATTTGACATTCATTATACTCTGGCCAGAGATTTCCCTTTTCCAATGTTTATTGACATTCGTCTGGGAACTCGAGATTGAACTATTTTGGGTTAACGGATCCCATCTTGACCATTACTTGTCCTCACACATGAATAACATATGACCAAACCGACTTATTACACAAGACATTACTAGTTTCGTGCTTATACACCATATGAACCATATGCATCTTATGTTGAATCCAACCGCGATGTCTCAGGTGTAAGGATCAGTGGTACACTAGCACGATCCTATGATGCATCATTGACCATATCCATGTGATTCATCGTAATCGGTCGTATTTGATAAATTGTTCACTAACTTTTTGTCCATGCTAATGCCTTAGTGACATACCTCTTATAATCACCCACACTAATACCATCACATGATATTCAATAGAGACATTCAGCATACCTACTATGTAATATTATTGCCAATTAACATTACTTGCGTAGGGAATTCTTTGATGATTTGATCTTCTGAAGATCCGTGTCATCTAGACATTTCACATGCAATATTAAATATAATATAATATAAATAAAGTAGAAAATCAACATGTGAAATAAGAACACTTTCTTTTATTCATAATACATTTACAAGATATAATGTCTTGAAACTGACAGCACGATTGGTTCTTAGGGCATACACTAACAGGAGCAAGCAATATGAGGGGTGAGTTCAATGGTTTGAAGACTTTGATATTGAAAGAAAACAAATCAGCTTTCTACATTCATTGTTTCTCTTATCAACTCCAACTGGCGCTAGTCAAAGTTGTAAGTAACCATTCAGCATTGGGTGAATTTTTTCAATCTATTTCTATGTTATCAAACACTATAACGACATCTTGCAAGCGCAGAGATCTTCTATGTGATAAACAGTATCAAAATTTGATATCTTTAATTTCTAATGATGATCTTCATATGGGATGAGGTTTGAATCAAGAATGCACTATTAAACGACCAAGAGATACACGTTGGGGTCCACACATAGGGACAATTCGTAGTGTCATAAATTTATTTTCTTCTATTGTTGATGTGCTTAGGGTGATTGAGATTGAAGGAGACGATTGGCAAAACAATAGTCAAGTAAGGTGTTTATTACAAATCATGGAGAATTTTGAATTTGCTTTTTTGTTATTCTTAATGAAAATAGTATTAGGAATCACAAATGAATTGTCACAAGTATTACAAAGAAAAGATCAGGATCTTCTTAATACCATACAATTTGTACAAATTTCATAGCGTCGATTGCATAAAATGAGAAATGAAGACACTAGCTTTAACATATTGTTAAAAAAAGATTCTGATCTATGCAAAGATAATGACATACCAATCCTGGAGAATATGGAAGATAACTTTTGAAGGACAAAATGAGGGATTGCACCAATTACGAATAAACATCATTTTAAGGTGGAATTGATGTATACAATTTTGGATAACATTCAAGAAGAACTCAATAATCGTTTTGATGAAGTAAATATGAGGTTGCTTCAATGTATGACATCTCTTGATCCAAGTAACTCTTTTGTTGCATTTAACAAAGATAGATTACTTGAATTTGCAAAGTTCTATCTTGCTGATTTTCCTCAACACGATATTTGGTTGCTCGATGATCAACTTGAAAACTATTATGAGGATGTTAGCACTAATGCCAATTTCGCTCATGTCAAAGGGATTGCTGACCTTGCTAAAAAAATGGTTAAGTTTAAGAAGGATGTTGCTTACAACAAAGTTTTCTTGCTTATTAAATTAGCATTGGTTTTGCCTGTGGCTACTGTAATAGTTGAAAGGGTGTTCTCTGCAATGAATTTTGTGAAGAATAGTTTGCGCAATCGAATGGGAGATGAGTGGATGAACAATTGCTTGGTGGTTTTCATTGAAAAAGAAGTTTTTGCTACAATTGAAAATGAAGATATCATTGAACACTTTCAGAATATATCAAAGCAGAAAATCGTGTTCAATTGAAGATCTTCAGGTATTCCATTCTAACTTGCTTTCATCTTCAAATAATCAATATTCAAATATTTAAAATTTTCAAATATACTATTCTAACTTTATTTTTTGGTCAATACGCAGAGGATGTGTGGATCTTTAATCTAGACGGTTGAGTTTTGATATTAACGTCTGGATTTGGAGTTATAAGCATGAAGTTTGACTGCTTCTCTGGTGATTTTAATCCATCTCTTTGTAAACTTTAATGTATTTTACTTGTGTTAGAGTTGTGATTGACCTCTAAATTTGTGTAGAATATTTTTGGTGGATTGTGTTTATTGTAAACTCTTTTGGTTATATTGGATTTAAGTTCTCGTGGTTTTTTGCTCTCTTCACATTGAAGAGGTTTATTCACGTAAAAATTTTCTTGTGTTTCCTTGTGAATTGAATGTTATTTTCAACACATTGGCTCAAGAATTTGCTTAAGGTTTGGTGGTTTTTTAAAAGTTTTTACTAGTTGTTTGGTTAACAATGACGGAGCCGTGGATGCCCCCCCAGGCAAAAATCCTAGCTCCGCCACTGCAAACATGACAACACATATATTGTAAATTCAAGAAAAGGTGAAGACAAAAACACCCCAAATATTTAATGCAAAACAAAGAGGAAAATAACATGTTTAAATCTCCAACTTTACAATCACTAGTTCTAAAAAATGGCACCATGCAAGTTTAAAAGATATATCAATATTACATATTTCCAAATCTTATCTCTAAATTATATCATTATAATATATGTTACAATAGATGAACCTAAAAGAGACAATATAATGGAAAAAAAAAATTACCTAAAATTGTTTTGCAAAAGCTAGGACAACTTTGTCAACAGGCCAAGCAATTGTACTTCCCACAACATCTTCAACAGAAACCATTTCGGATGCAAGCTCCACAAAAACGCATTAGTTACCTTGGCTATATCAATCCAAACTCTCATAGCATTAGGTCCACAACATCTTCAACAGAAACCATTTCGGATGCAGGCCTCCATAAAAACGCATTAGGTACCTTGGCTATATCAATCCAAACTCTCATAGCATTAGGTCCAATATGAACATAATGAACAAGTGCTTTTGGATCATCTGATGAAAAACATCCTTTAGCTACTACTTCATTAGATCCTCTCCAATCAAGCCAACTTGGAACAAGTGTTTCTCTTGATAGCCTGCATTCTTTTTAGCCAACTTGACAAAGTTTCATGCACCCTGCATGTATACATCTGTAGCTCTATCCAAAAAAAAAAAAAAAAAAAAAAAAAATTTAAAACCTTGTTAAGGAAAATAATTATTACTTCATACACTAAGGCGTGCCTTTTAATCTTTTTCTTACATGTTAAGATGCACTCAATCCTTATTTATCATCATTATAACACTGGTGAAATGTTTGTCCTGATATGACCAATGCATCAAATTCGAATATAATTCCCTTTTGTTAGGCACAAATTATGTTTGTTGCTCATAATGTTTATGAAGTTTGTGATGAATTCTAAAACTAAAAAAACTATCTGTTAAAAAATCCTTTAGTTTTCACATTACTTAGTCTACACAATTAACAAAAGTCAAACAATATATAAATAATTATAGGAAAACATTGCAAGAGCATATGAATAACAATGAAACATGAGTTGAGATTAAAAAAAAAAATAAAAAAAAATAACCAACACAATAACCAATTCATCTACTTTGTTTTAGGGTGCCAATAATTGAATTGCAATTATTTTTTCTCATGTGTTGACAAACAAGCACAAAATATCAAGTCATGCTGTCTCAATCATAACATCATGCAAACTCTAAGCAAAATAGCAAAATGAGGTTCATACTACGAACTTCACACATGAAACTTCACTATCAACCGCACATGATATTTACTTCTTTTTACTTTAGTTCTTTTTCGTCATCTTTCTCAAAACCAAATTGGAGGAACAAAAATTAAACATATATGTAATTAAAGTCATAGATCTCCATTTTTATCATAAACAAGACAAAGAACTAATATGTAAACTTTAAAATCTATCCTCGTCCCTTCAATTATAAACAATGATCACAATCACGTTTCAAAAATCTTACCCTGCATCACAATCACTATAAACTATAACGTAATCATAGCACACCATTTCAAAAATCTTACTCCCAAATCGCAAACCTTAATAAAAAAAACTTCTCTTTTCCTCATCTTAATGCAACTATTTTTTGCTCATGTGCTGCCAAACAAACACACAACATCAATCCAGGCTTCTCAATCAGAACATATGTTATACTGTAAGCAAATTACCAAATTAAGGTTCATACAAGAAACCATAAACATGAAACTTTGACTACCAACCGCACATGCTATTTATCATAAAAGATGTTAAATTTTTGGACCATATAAGGGTATCAATATACTCAACATAGTAATCTTAAAGTTAAATTAACAATTTGATGTAAACATATATTCAAAAAACATTGAATTCTTACTCTTTGAAGATGAAATGGGGTTGATTATGGTGGAAATGAGTAATTGGCAGCAAGATGGACTGATTTGTGGTGGAAAGAAGACCAACAGATGCTAGAAGTTGCACAGTCGCTGGTGACGGTGATGGTAGCTGGAGACAAAAAAGCTCCAAAACTTTGTGAGAGGTAGACCAAGTCACGAGGAGTCCAAATATGTGACTTGGGAGATGAAAAGACACAAAAGAGTGAGTGAAATCACACTGAGAACGTGAAGAGTCATGATGGTGAAATGGCTTTTTCCTGCAAGATTTGGAGTCAACCAAGCTTGGGGAAGGTGGATCTGACCTTAGCGAGTATGGACTGGCCCCTAGGATGTATAGAAGTTGCCGAAAAAGGAGAAAAGTGGTTAGATGAACAGTCATTGGAATCTAGGAAAGTCTTGGTGATGATGGTCAGCCAACTTGGAGAAGGAAAATGTCGCCGAAGGTGGAAGCTGGATGGTTGTCAGAAAATGGATGAAGATGGATTGGCGTTTTTGGCTTTGCACAACCTTCCATCTTCCTTCTATACTATTTGTAAAAAAATTCATTTTGATCCCTACATGAATAAAAAGTGACAAAATAAACCCCAAATAATATAATATTTGACCCCTAAACAATAAAAATTGAGACAAAATCAACCCCATTTCAGGTTGGTGGGATTGATATTTTTTTTCCCTGTCAATAATTGGGTTTATGATAACATTTTTAAAATATTATTGTATTTTGATTATATGGTAACATTATAAAAAAAAACTACTATATTATTAGGTTATTGTAACACTTTAAAAATTTTACTGTAAATATATTTTAATAACATTTAAAAAAAAAAGAGTTACCATTAATATAAAATGTGTTATAAAAAGTTAAAATGTTATATATAAAAAATTGTAAGGTCAATTGTTGTAGTGATGCAAAAATCTAATTAAAAAAAAAAAAAAAAACTTTTGCACCAAAGGTTACGTCACAAGACTAGAACTCCACTAGGACTTGACTTCCGCTTGATGTATGGATAGTATCGAAATGGAATAGGAGAACGCCGATAAAAAAAAAAAAAAAAACAGTGTCATCAAGAGTTTCTCCATCAAAATCAATCGGGTAATTATAATAGAAAAGGTCTTCACCAGCAGGAGGAGAACATGGAAACGCATTCACTCATTTGTTGCAGCTTGAAGGCACCTATATAATTATTATAGAAATTACAGTAGAACTTCCATCCGAAAATTCTACATCGCTAATACACTTTCTACAAGTGCCATGATGCTTAAATTCAATTCATTGTGCTTCTCCAGGCTTATATAGTTGATACAAAATATTTCGTAAGAAATTAGATAGATTACAAAATACCAAGCAGCAATGTGGAGAATCTGGGGTGGTAGAGAATGTTGCTTTTGATGGAATTAGAAGGAAGAGAAGGAGGTCAATATCCGTAATTACGCAATTTAATGATATATTTGTAAAGGATTGAAGAAACATTGAGGATATATGTCTCTGTGAAAAGCACCAACTATTTTTTGAGTCAAGCCCTAGTTTTCTACGCGTAAAAATTTCACCACTACAAACTGTGTAAGTTGTTATGGTAAAGATCGTATAGGAAACAAGAAGATAAATCATAGGCCATAATCCATGGCAATTTATCTGCATATTCACATGTATTATTTGCAGCTCTTCGCCAATTCTTGCACACCGCCCGGAAGCGTTTGTGATCGACAAAACAAAGATGATTTACGATAAAAATTATGATATCATCGGGAAGATTGGACCATGAATTCGCCTGGCGCTGCCTGTCATCGCAAACCCAAATAAAAAAAAAAATGCTGGTTGCAGTGAAGGTTGAGTTAGATTTATCTCTTCAAAATTAAATAAAAAAGACGTTTTGAAAGAAGACTTTTACTAAACATGTCTTTAATAATTTTTTGTAGACAGTTTCATAAAAAAGTCTTCTAGTTTATATTGAAAAGAATTTTCCTTGAAATTTTTATTAATACCAACATTTTATAGACTTAATAAATTTAATATTTGTCATGTTAAATATTAAATTAATTATTTATATTGTGAAAAGATTAAAATCAGATGTTTTTTAAATGTCTTATAACGTTCTAAGACACTTCAAGAGAATAATTTTCTGCTTAAAGACGTTCTTGATTTATTAAGGATAGTTCTAACCCATTAAAAGAAAAAAAAAAAAAAAATGGTAGTAATGAATATAGCTAATTGTGTCGATCAGGAAGATTGCTTATTTATCTAACTCCTACTTGGACTTAACTTCCTTTTGCTGTATGATTATGGCCAGTAGGAGAACTCCAAAAAAGAAAAAGAAAATCATATTATTGATATCTTTACATTAGATAATTTTTTTATATCTACTATATATTTGCTATTAATAATATTAATCATAGTTAAATTTAATTTCTATATGACATTTATATATGTTGTGCGGGAAATCCGGAGAGGATAATTCTCTATTAGGCAAGAAAATATTTAGATTAGCTAGTTTTGGAAGGAAAATATTTAGATTAACTTGGATTCCAACTAAGATAGTAAAAGATCATACAACTTGTTAATTCTACGAATTTGAATCTTACTTGAATTCTATCATGTAAATGGGTGTTATATAAACCACCCATCAAAAATTTGTAA